CTGGTGCCCCGAGGCAGCGTGGCCTCTGTCCTACCTCCCCGTGACTTTCGACCTGGCTGCCCGGCCCAGCCGATCCCATGGTGCAGCCTGGGACTCATCTGCCTCCCGGAGCCTAGGTCAGCCTGACCGCACTGCCCTTGTGAGTCTGGCGGCCCCACCTGGCCACGCTCCCTGGGATGGCAGCTCCAGTCCCCACTCTAGAACTGTGTGGGCTCTCCCCGCCCTCAGAAGGCTGCCTGTCCACTGGGACTCATGCCAAGTGTCACCGGTGCTGCTCATGAACCCTCTCAGAAGCCTGAGGGCACCATGGGGTCCGTGTCCCAGTCAGAGGCTCTTGGCGGTGGTGGCAGTGCACCAAGGGTCTGGCCCCAGGAAGCGTCCTTCTTCGGTCTGGGGGGGGGCAACCTTGGGCCCTAGACGGTAAGGAGGGAGGGGAGTGGGGCTCTGGTTGGCCCCATGTCCCTGGGGAGCCCCTCCTGCAGGCTCCTGCTGACCCCTCTCTCCTGTCTTTGCCCCTTGGGCTCTTTCCTTCTGGAATGTTCCACCATTTTCACCTGTTTCCTAAACGTGTACATACGCATTTTTTTCTGACTAAAATAGGAAGATGCGGCTCAAGACCTGCTTCCTCCAGGCAGCCCTCACACTCACCGAGCTCCCACCAAGAAGGACCCGCGTCCTTCCACCCCAGCCTGAGGTGGCATGTCATAGGGCCGTGTGTGAAGCCGGGCTTCTGCCCGCCTCCCACCCCAGATTCTGTTGTGCTGTGAGCTGGATCTGACCCGGGGACCTAGGCTGGCAGTGCTGCCTACAGGGAGGACCCCTGGCTGCAGGCGCTGCCCTTGCCTCTGCCGTGTGGCAGCTAACCTGCAGCCTAGGGGGCTCTCCACACGGCAGGCATCCACTCCACTCAGGTGCAGCGTGTGGGCACCAGGCCCCCTGCAGCCTGTCCCCGTGCCCCTCCCAGGAGCCCTGCCGTGGAGAGCGGGCCGCAGCCAAGGAGCACTCTGCTCCGTGTGGGCACGACAGGCCCCACACCTTGGCATTGGCACCCCGTGGGGCTTGGGAAGCCCCTGGGCTGGTGCCTTCTGGAGGGCGAGTGGGACAGGGTCTACCCTTTTCCCGATGTCCCCAAGGCCAGCCTGTCCAAGAGGGCATTAGCCTCCGGGGACAGGCATGGGTGGGCCGTGGTGTGGCTGGCCTGGGGTGAGGCCGGGACTTCGGGCCCCACCAGAAGCCGACAGGCCCCTCAGCTGCCCAGGCTCACTTGGTCCAGCTGTGAAGTGGAGGGGGAAACCGCCCTCTCAGCAGGCAGCCCTCCTCCCCGCCGCCCCACCCCTGCCAGGCAGCGACCAGCCTGGGCTTTCTCTTGGGCTCACTCCGAGCATTAATTGGGCAGGGTGGGGTGCGGTGGAGCCTGGCTGCACTGGCATGAGCCACGGTCACGTGTGCACGTACACAGCACACGGTGCTGTCAGGGCTGGGGGGCGGGGTGGAGACGTCACTTCCTTGTGTCGCCAGAGAAACCCTGCTTTGTTGGTGGCAGCCCTGCCAGGAAGGTGCTGGAGAGGAGCCCTTGGCGGGAGGCGAGCCCAGGAGGGAAGTCCGAGCTGGCAGACGCAGACTGGGCACATGGGGCCGGGATGGGGGACTCCTCTCTGCGCAGGGGCCTGAGTCAGGAAGCAGTCGTGTCCCACCACCCTTGGTCCCCTGTGGCCAGTATGTCTAAACGGCCAGCTGACCTGGAGCCCCCAGAGCTCGTCAGTGTCCTCCCGAGCGCACCTCAACTCCTCGGGCCGGGGCCCTGCCCGTTTGCTCCCGTATGGCCAGGGTCCCTCCTCCAGGCTGGCAGGAGGGCAGCTGAGTAGCCCGAGTCTGCATGTCCCTGGGAGGGACTCCTTTCCCCGCTGCCCTTCTGTGGCACACGTTCCAGGAGGGCGACGTCCCCACGGCACCAGCACCTACCTGGTGAGTGGGAGGTGCTCCCCAATTGCTGAACGACTGCTAGAGAGCGAGCTGCCCCAGGAGGAAGCGTGATCACGGCGGCCAGAAGTGGGACCCGAGTGGCGTCCGTGTGCGGTACACCGGCGTCAGGTTGGGGAGGGTCTGCTCTTGTGTAGGTGTTTGTCCTGGCCTGGGGACGGGGCGAGCCCACCTGGTGGGAGATCCTGGGAGCTCTGTGGCCTCCCGGGAGACCCTAGGTTTTGTCGGGCACTAGGATGGCAAGCTGCCCCACGTGGAGTAGCCAGGCCCAGCCCCACCAAGCACCGTGGAGGGCCTCCTGGGCTCTGCCCACCGTTGCTGCGTGTCCTCAGCTGACGAGAGGAAGACACTCCTTTCCCTTTCAAGGAAACAGCCGCTTCTCTGTCCAGGAGCAGCTCCGTCGTGTCAGAGTCGTCCACAAGATGCTCTTGTTCTGTGGCTGGCAGACCACGAGTGGCCGTGGTGGGCTCTCCCGGCTCTTGGGGCCCCTGGCACAGGTGCGCTTCCTGGCAGAGCCGATGGCTGAGCCGGAAGGTGCTGCCTGTACCCTTGGCTCCCACCGCCTTTCCTGGGGCCCCGTGCGCCTCTCACTGACCTGGTAGGGGCTGGCGGTGGCAGGCAGGCCTGGAACGTGCCCACTCCAGGGGGATGGCATGGCTGCTAGGTTGCAGGGGCCTCCATGTGAGCCACAGCATCATGGCCTGGACTTGGGGACTGGGAGGCCCTCCCCCAGATGGAGCTCCCTGAGGGCTGACCCGTCCACTGGCCCTGTGGTCCCTCCTGTGGCTCTGGGGAGTTGGAGTAACCCAGAGGAAGGTGGAGTGGCGGGGGGGGGCGGCGGTGGGGGCGGGGGGGGGGAGAGACCCAGAGGAAGGTGGAGTGGCGCACCTGCCAGTGTCCGAGGCAGGGTGCAGCAAGCCCATACTTCTGGCAGGTGCTGCGTGTCTAAGTGGAGCCAGAGGAGGAACTGGCCCTTCCACTGGGCACAGAGCCTCCCCCATAATGTCAGCTTGGTGGCATTTACACCTGGACCTGGACCTCCTGGCCAAGACAGTGGCCCCTGTGTCCGGACTGGCCAGTCCCCTTGGCCTGGTGGCACTCCAATGCCACGCCACCCTGCCCACTCCACATTCTTCACATGTGAGCTCGGCAGCCACACTAAGGAAGCGAAACCTCGCGGCTGTCCCTGTGTGTCCCGGGGAGGGCGTAGCCGGCTGCCATGGTGACCGGCCTCTCTTGGCCTGCCTCCTGCTGCTGCTCAGGGTGTCAGTGGGGCTCGGAGAGCTGTCCTCAGGCTCTGCCTCCTCTTACACCGGGAAAAGCCCATAGGGGCTGCACCCACATCCAGCCTTGTTCCCCACATGCCTGTCTAGGGAGGCGCTCTCAGACCTGTGTCTACTGTGCACAGAGGGAGGCACCCGGCACCCCAGTACGTGCACACGTGCGTGCATACACGTACATGTGCGCAGGCGCACACACGTGCACACGTGCAGTAGAAGTGCCATAGCACCTGCCAGCACTCCAGGATGGGGGCCACGCCCACCCTCACAGGTCTGTGCCCTTCTCTGTTTCCCCACCACACACGGTGCTTCTCGGCCGCCCGCTCCCGCCCTGCACCTGGGTGGGACTCCCAGACTCGCCATCTGGCTCAGCCTTCTCCCGGGCACTGCCCAGATGCCAGTCCACCCTAGTCCCAGGTGCGCCCTGGGTTTGCCCCGTCCACGTGCTGGCTTCCCGTGTCTGCCCTGCACAGTGTCCTTGTCTCTGCCGAGGCCCGTGTCCCAGCTCTCCTCTCCCTCTCCAACGCCCCACCCATTCCCACATCCCTGGAGTACTGAGGAGTCACCCATGGCCTTCTGCTTTGCCCAGGCTCTTGGCTGGCACTTAGTCTCTGAGCAGCCAGAGGGATCTTATAAACACGTTGGACTTGTCGCCCTGCTTAGACACCCGGCTACCGCCCCCACTGCTGCACCTGCTCCCTCTCCTGTCCTTGCCTCCTCTGCCCCGGCTAGAGCCCTGGTGAGGTGCTGAGGAGCCGTGCATGCAGGCCCACCAGCAAGGCGGGGGTGGTGCCTGCCTGCACAGATGCCCCGTCACACTCGGGGAAGGGGAGCGTCAGCCAGATGGCAGGTTTTCTGGTGCCAGGTCTCCTATGGGAAGTGACTGCCATGCCCCTCTCATCTGCTGTATCAGTCCCACAGGCAGAGGACAGGAGGGGCAGAGTTGCCCTTGCTCCTGGCCCCCAGGCTCAGGTGCTGGGTGAGGCTGCAGCCTCCCTGTCGCCTGGGGAAGGACGAGGGAAACGCAGGGTGCAGCCGAGACGGCCTCTCCCCTGTAGCCCCAGTCTGGCGGCCCGGCTGCTGTGTGCCGTGCTCGCAGGACTCTCATTCGGCCGCTGTTTGCTGTGCCTGTTTTGTGCCTTGTAATGAGAGCACTGGTTTGGCCTTCACGGCGAGATCTGATTTCTCGAGTCTGAGAACTGCCGCAGTTGGCAGACTTCATCCACGGCTCCCAGACCGGGGCCTGTCGGATTATTCAGAGCATGGTGTTTGCAGATTGGGCTTGGACGGCTCTAATCAGAGTTGGTGTTTGCTAATTGGTGTCTGGAGTTAGGGTTTTAGCGGGGGAGGCGGGGGACCAGCATCTCTGAGCGTCTGTGTGTGGCGGGGGGGAGGGTTCTGGGGTGACTCAGCCCTGCCAGACGGCAACGGCCCCTTGGCAACAAGGCCTGGGTGCGGATCATGTCCCCCACGTGGTCCCGCAGCCCCGCATGCCCTGTGCAGGCTGTGCTGCTCTGTGGTGCCGTGGGGAACCAAGGCTCAGGAGGTCTTTGCTCAAGGACATCTGGCAGGGTGCGGGGAAGGGTGGGGCGGGGTTGGAATTCGAGCTGCGCCTTCGTTGGTGACCTCCCCAGAGATGGTGCCTGCTGGGGCTCCCTCTTTGGTCTTGGGGCGGCAGGCCCCTCCCCAAGGCCTCAGTGGTTTGTACTGCTGACACTTCCCCCCTCTGCTTCCTTGCAGACCATCATGGAGCAGTTCAACCCCAGCCTCCGGAACTTCATCGCCATGGGGAAGAACTATGAGAAGGCCCTGGCAGGTAGAGTGCCCACAGGCCACTCCGCGTGTCCCTGCATTGAGCCTGTGCGTGGGTGGAGCTTGTCTGGTTCCAGCATCGGCCTTTGTTGGGTTAGAGGGGAGCCACCTTTACCTCCGAGGTCACCTGGCCACAAAGCACCTTGACTGGGCCCCAGCCGGCGGGCCCCTGGCAGAGGCAGCTTTGCCAGCTCCAGGGGGACTGTCCGACTGGGCATGCTGCTACCCGTGTCGTGGGAGAGAGGGTCTTCTGCCACCCAGAGGCCTCTGGGTGCCTTGTCGTGCAGGCAGCCGCTTCTGCCCTGCTCCTCCAGAGCCTTCAGCCACTGGTGGGACTGTCCTTTTGGAGTGGAGCAGCAGAGTGTCCTGCTCAGACGTGCCATCACTGGGGCCACAGCGAGGGAGGGGCCTCTGTCCCTGGGAGTACAGGACAGCACCGCACCATCCTGGCCAGGGGCATGGGGCTCCCTGGTGCTGCCCTCCACTCGCAGCATGCGTCCCGATCCACCAGCCAGAGCTGCAGGCTCAGTGCCGCCGCCCAGGGCCTGCTGGAGGGAGATGAGAGAGACAGGCTTTGTCCCTTCAGTTGTCCCAGGTGCCAGCCTCCTGCAAGTAGAGAGCCTCGCTTGCCTTGATGACCTCTGCAGACGCCCAGGCTGAGGGTCCACCTCAGGGCAGACCCCTGCCCCTGCCTGGAGGAGCCTCTCGGGTTTCAGGGGAGGCAGCAGCAAGTCCCTGGCCCAGTCTCTAACTGTTACTGTGTGTCCCGAGGAGAACTGCCTTTGCCCCTCGTCTGAGACGTGCTGACCGGGAAGAGGCTCTGATCAAGGCAGGGCCCGAATGGACCACCCCGAGGGGGCCTTGCCCGTGGCAGGCTCCTCAGGCCAGCGTGATCTCCAGGCCCTCTAAGCACCACTGGGCATTACCTGCCCCTGGCCAGGGCCTGTTTCTCTGTGTACTGTAGAGGCAGGGGTCAAACATGCCTAACTGGGCCAGCCACGGTGCTCATAGGCTGGGGCTGCAGACGAGGCCTGGGTTCCTTTCCTAGCCCAGCCCGAAGGTGGACTTAGCGATGTCCTGCTATAGTCCTGGCGACTCCTGAGGCTGAGGCAGGAGGGTGGGGACACGGTGAGACCCTGTCCAGAACAAAGAAACCTGCCCGAGCAGCCCTGCCCCACGTGTCTGGGAGTCGGTGTTGCACATCACACTTGGCCTGCTGTCACCTCCCATGCTGTCCTCTGGCGCGTTGGTGGTCCACATGGTGGAGCCCCCTGCCTGCAGTCCTTCCTGTGCCCTGAGGTCTCCGGCAGGGCTCTCTCTCAGAGGAGGCCTTTGCCCTGCACAGCCAAGGGCCTAGGACAGCTGCTTCCAGGCCTGCTAGGCTCTTCCGGGCCCTGCTCTAGCTGGGCCAGCGGGGGGACTCAGTGTCCCCTGAGCTGTCCTCGCCTGCTCTGATTCCATCGGGATTCCCGGCCCCAGGTGGTGGGCCCCTCTGGCAGCAGCAGCGTTTAGGGCAGCTGACCTGCTCCCAGTCCTGAGCCTCAGACTGGGATTGGTGAGAGGACTTGCCTGCGGGGCAGCCTGGGGGTCTTTGCTGGGGTCGCTTCCCACCTGCAGCTGCAGCGCCCTTGCCTGGCACAGGCTTGTTGTCCCTGCAGGGGCCCTCGAGGTGCCCTGCACTGGCTGCCACAGTCCCACTCAAGCAGCTCTGGGCCTTTGGGCACTCTGCATGCTGGCGCATGGAGCCCTCGGGATCGGAATGCAATGAGAGGGTCAACACGCCAGCGGGCTGTGCCGTCCCAGGAACCAAGCCGTGCGTGTGCGGAGCTGCCTCAGCACAGCGAAAGGGGCAAGTGCCCATGGCCGCTGCGTTTCACGGTGGGTCTCAGCAGCCCGGGGAGGGGGTAACCTGAGTCCTCTCCTCCCGCAGGTGTGACCTTCGCTGCCAAGGGCTACTTCGATGCCCTGGTGAAGATGGGGGAGCTGGCCAGCGAGAGCCAGGGCTCCAAAGAGCTAGGTAAGACCACCCCCAGGCGGTGGGGTCGAGGGGCCAGGAGTCAGCCGGTGTCGGCGGCGGGACTGGATCCGACCTGTGTCAGGGATTCGGTTTTGCCTGTCAGATAGGTTTCTCACCCCGCTATGGTTCTGTTGTGGGAAGGTGTCACCAGAGGTGGCTGGAAGCACAGGGGCGGGCCCAGTTCCAGCCCAATCCAGACAGTCCCGGCCAGTGGTGCTGCATGGTGCTGCCACTGAGCGGCCGGCCTGGAGGTCTCTGCCAGCGCGTTTGCCGGCCGCCTGTCGCCACACACTCACACACGTCTCTCACGTTGGAAAATGAAAAGACAAGGCTCGTTTTGTTTGTTTTGTTTTGTTTTAATACCAGTAACTATTAGAGCCTGTGAGAGCCGTGAAGGTCACCCCCTGTCGAAAGCGGGGTGCACTGGGCTGTCCCAGGTGCTCGGACCTCTCACTCCTGGGTCTGCCCCTGCCTTGCGAGCTGAAGGTGGGCACACAGGTGGCTGGGGTCCGGGGTTAAAGGTGAGGTGGGCACACAGGTGGCTGGGGTCTGGGGTTAAAGGTGAGGTGGGCACACAGGTTGCTGGGGTCTGGGGTTAAAGGTGAGGTGGGGCTTGGGGGGCCTGCCTGGGGAGTTCCTGCGGTTCATGCACGTGGCACCTGGTGTGACGTGAGCGACAGCCCCGCAGCCGCGCGTGTCTAAGCGTGAGTGAGCACGGAGGGGCCCACGGTTCTGGGGTGGGCTGCCGTTCTCGGTATGCACTTCTGTGTCCCGCTGTCTTCCGCACCAAGGTCGTGTCGCTTGGTTGCTAGGGGACACTGGATGAAACCTGGGAGTTGTGACCGGCCACCCTCTTCGTCATGAATGTGTTGCCGTGTGTGTTCGTGTAAGAGGGATTTAGGTGGACCTCGGATCTCGTTCTCTTGGGCACATACCCAGGAGTGGAATGGCTGGGTCAGGTGGTCAGGACTTGAATTTTTGAAAATCTCCAGAGAGCCTGTGCACTCACAGGGGAGCAGACAGAGGGCCCCCAGATGAGGCACGGTCACGCTGCCATCCCTTCTCTTTTCATCTTGTTGGCACACGTGTGCCCCACGTGATTTTCAAGCCACAAGGACTGGGTTTCAAACCTCAGTCAGCCACGTGGGATCCAGTGCCTCAGCCGCCAGGCCGAGGACCAGCCGGGAGGTGACCTTGTATTAAAGCACCGCGGTGGCGTTCCTGTCGCCCCCTGGGCGTCCTCGCTGCGCACTCTTTGGCGGTAGCTCCAGCCCTGAGCGCTGCTGTGCTGGCTCTCGCTCCCGGCTAGGCAGGTAGGTGTGTGACTCTGAGCTCTTGCCACGGGAGACGGATCGCACCATCAGGCCGCCTGCATGGGGCCCCCTGAGCGGTGCTGTGGTTTTCCTTAACCGGCCTGCGTCCTCCACGACGTCGCAGACTGCACACAGCCCACACATGGGTGCATGCCGTCGCTTGCTCTTACAGCTTCTCTGAGGGTTAATCAGCGCACGGTAAACCGGGTTTCGGTCTGGCATGCGGGGCTGGCTCGTCGAGTGCACGTGGAGCCGTTTTCAGTGGGGCCGGACTCTGCCCGCCCCGCCTGCCTCGGTGGCCGTCACAGGTGTGTGCTGCTGGGCGGGTGCAATTTCCTCTGGACCTCAGTCTGCACGGCGCTCAGACTCCTCCATGTCGGCAGGGGTGCCGGGAGCTCACAGCGTGTCACTGCTGAGCGGGTTTCGGAGGGGGGCTGCCCCACGGTGTGTTGGCACAGTCATGTGTGGGCGGCCGTGTGCTTTCAAGTTGCATTTCTGTAATTAAGGGTGCCGAGCCCGTCTCCGTGGCTTATCTACCCTTAGTGAGTGCCCACTTTCCAAGCCCTCTTAGTTCTGCAGGTCCTCTACATAAGCCCTCTGTCAGACCCGTCCTTCGTAGTACCTCCTCCCACTCTGACTCACCCTCAGCTTTGTAACTGAGTTTTTAGGTGACCCAAGACGCTTCATTTTAATGAAATCCATTCAATTTTTTTTTTTTTTTTGGAGAGGTTTTTGCTATAGGGCGCGTGCGCTCACCAGACAGAGAGAGAGAGACAGAAAGCAAGAAATCTCCCCCCAGGGGGGATGGCCACGCCGCAATCCCTTCTCCTCCACTCTCCTCTTGGGATCTTGGGCACGCACACACACGCACCCGGTGTGAGTTTTAAGCCACCGGGTCCAGGACGCGAACCGCGGTCGACTACATGCGAGTCCAGCGACACAGCCATTACGCTAACTGCTGGCTCCATCCATTCGAATTTTTGTGTATTAGAATTCATGGTTCTGTTCTGGTCCCGATTCTGATGGTTACTGTGATAGTTCTGTCCTGGAGCCGTGACTGCCCTGCCTTCTCACCCTGCCCACTCCGACGTGCTGTCACAGGCTCAGTCCCAGCCTTAGGCTCTGGGCCTCCTCGCCACTTCCACCTTGGCATGTGCCCCCAAGAGCACCCCTCTGGGGCCCCTTGCTTGCTCCGCTCACTCTGGCCACATGGCCATGCCCGGAAGCTCCCCATCATCTGTGGCCTCCTCCAGGGCTGCACCCCGGGTTTTCTGGGTGTCGTGTCTCTGACCGTGTGTGTAACTGTCTCAGGGAATTCTCTTTAACAAACGTTCTGAGCAGGTAAGCAGCCATGCTGTCTGCAGGCTGCCTGGCCCTGACAGCTTTGCTGTTAGACCTCGAGGTAGGACACGATCTTCCTGGGTCTGAGGACGTAACCCTGCGTCAAGCCCCCAGCACCACTGTGCTCAGTGCCATCTTTGTCCCTGGCACCTGAGGTTGTGAGTTCTCGCTAGAGAGGGAGGGACAGAAGCCACCCTCCATGGTGAACGGCCGTGCTTTGGCGCTTCTCCATTTCTGTCAGGATTTAGGGTACACACATACGCACTTGGCGTGATTTTCAACCTGCCAGGGCTGGATTTGAACCGGACCTTCGGCCGTGCCTTAAGCCTGGCTTTAACCACTAGGCTTTGGGGCTGGCCCTATTCAGTGCTGTTTTGATAGTGATCTTTTTAAGTATGTTTTTGTTTTTTCCTTCCTGGAAGCTTTTGAGATCTTTGTCTTGGGTGTTCCCTGACAACACCCGTGGTGGAGAACAAGCACCATTCGGTGGTGGAGGCGAGGAGGACTGGGGTGGGGGAAATGCACCAGGGAGGCAGGAGGGGAGCAAAGGTATAAGGTGGACAAAAATGAAGTGTTTTTGCAGAAATGTGAAAAGCTTAGAGCAGAGGAGGGCAGTGAGGACCGAGGGGAGGCAGGGCTTTGAACAACCAGGGCCTTGTAGGAATCCTGGGCATGATGCCACTTGCTTTATCTGTTCTTCCCTTGAATTTGCAGTTGAATTATTTTTGGTGGGTTTGCTGTTCTGAACAAGCTGCCTTACAGAGTTATAAAGCTGTTCTGAAGGACGAGTTTCCCCCCGTCAGAGCAGGGAGAGACGTGTCTTACTCCCCCAGGTTGGTGGCTCATTAGTTTCTCTGATAGTTTTTGCTTTATGAGTTTACAGGTAGTGTTATTAAGTGAATATGGGTTGTGTGGTTCTACCTTTTTTTCTTTACCTTTTTCTTTTTTCTTACTCATGATGAAGTATGTACGTACGTGCAGGACAGCAAGAGAGTGCCTCCACAGGACCTGGTCATGCTGCAGCCCCTTCCTCCAGTCCTCTCTACCGCCAGATCTTGAGCATGTGTGTGCACACCCAGGGTGTTCCAGGCAGACCGGGCCTGGTATGTGAACTGCGGTCACCCTGTGGGACCCGGCTTCCCTCGAGTGCGCCTCACTACTGTGCTGCAGAGCTGGCTCTGGGGTTTTCTTGCCGAGCGGAACCTTACTGTGGGAGGTGACCTTCCCTGGATCTAGTAGTCTTGTTTCTAGTCTGTTTTGTTTGATGTTCAGTTGGTTTCCTCCTCCTCTTCCTGTCTACGGTCCTGAGGGATTGTTCATTTTTGACCACCCTTTCCTAAGCATGTTGTTACTACTGCAGGGTGGAAGGGATGAGATGGCATGCCCCTGCAGCCCTGGAGAAATAGAACCCAGTTGGGACCAGCAGTTGGCACTGGGGGCATTGTGCTGTCGTGGCTATGTCACTGGACTCCTATGAGGTTGACCACGGTTCAAGTCCTGGACCCGGTGGCTTAAACTCACACCGGGTGCGTGTGCATGCATGCTCAAGATCCCAAGAGGAGAATAGAGGAGAAGGGATTGCAGTGTGGCCATCCTCCCTGGGGGGTGATTTCTCGCTTTCTGTCTCTCTGTCTTTCTGGCGAGTGCAGCCACCCTATAGAAAAAACCTCCCAAAAAAAAAAAAAAGAAAACCGCCCAGTGTGCACCACTGTGGGTTCTGGGCTACATTTTTGGTGATCCTCTCGACGCCCAGTGAAGTGGGGCTTCAGCCTGGCCTCGATGGACGTTCCCTGGGCCTCTGTGGGCATGGTCTCGGGGCCTGCGGGAAGCGGTTGCCAGGCAGCGGTATGATCCTGGCTCCTCCCTTCCCCCTTCCATCCTTCCGCTTCTGCTTTCCCTTCCCTTCCCCTGTGGGATGGTGCTTCCTGTGGTCTGCCCTGCCCATGGTGCTCATTCCAGGGGGATGATGCGGGATTCCGCTGTGCTGACCCTTCCCTGATCCCAGACTTGCCCACCCACTTCCCTTTGGAGCCCAGGCGTTGTTCCCGTGAGGGTCCGGAGGGTTGCACACCCCACCATGTCAGCCACTGTCACGAACCCCAAGGTCTCTGGAGTCTCACTTCCGAATGAGATCATGGCGCCGGGCAGTAGGAGCCCTGCTGCATCTTTGCTCTAAACAAGCGGTCTGATGGTCCCTTTGTTCTTGCTCTGGAGGGGGAGAGTGGCTGGGTGCGTCCACCTTGGGTCCCGCTGGCCTTTCTGTCTGCACAGCTCTGACCGAGTGTGCACAGCTGGGGAGGTGGCCGCGTGCTTTGCACCTGCAGACCTCACAGAGCAAGCGCCCTC